GTACTCACTGTGGACTCGTATACATTTGTCTGTACTCACTGTGGACTTGTATACATTTGTCTGTACTCACTGTGGACTTGTATATATTTGTCTGTACTCACTGTGGACTTGTATATTCTCACTGTGGCCTTATCATGTTAATTAATCCAATGATATCTGAAACAGCCGGCAGAATTGCAGTGCTTTCCAAAGGTTGTTTCTGCTGCTCCTTTACCAACTTTCACCCCTCATCCTACCATTTACCACATCATTTCCCATGTGCCATTCTTCTGTACCCCAAACCTGCTCACCATTGGGTTTGAGGAACTTCTTGGCATGCAGGTAGCTCTCCAGCATGCGCTCATTGAACAGCATGTAGCCCATGGGCTCTGAGATGATGATGTCCACCTGCTCGGGGAGCGTCACCTCCTCCACCTTCCCCGGGATGACGATCACGCGATCACCCAGACGGTTACTGTTCACCAGCACCTGTGAGGCAGAGCACAACTTCATACAAGGATCTGAAATCCTGCCTCAAAATAGAGCGACCCGTCAACCAGGTCATTCAAAACATATCAGATTCAGGGAACTGATGTCAGCATTAATCGTTGTGTGTGCGTGTGTGTACCTCAGCGTGCTGTGCCATGGTGCTGGCCTCCACAGCGTAGACCTTCCTGGCCCCAGCTTGGGCTGCAAAGAAAGAGAGGATCCCCGAGCCACAGCCAACATCCAGCACCACCTGTGAGAAAAGAGAACAGGATAAATTACAGGCATATTGTGCCGATATGACCTCTGAATGACTTGATACCAACACTAATAACAGTCCTGCCACAAAAATACCTCCGTTAATTAAACCAGTGCTCTACTTTAGCCTACACTCTGTAGCATCCAGGACTGGCTTTCACACACAGAAGAAACACTTCACAGTTCAGGTTCCAGTCGTAAAAAGGGATTTAAGTATCTTGTGACCTCATGTAACGTTGTCAGGTAATGAAAGGCTCCTGGAAGTAACGCTCAGTTATTACTGCAGGTAGTAAGCTAGTTAGCCAGACATGCTGACATTTGCAGTTAGCGTTCGAACAGATAAACTGTTTAATCCATTCCTTAAACTTTTGCTCATGTTTTTGGTTTTGGAAAGGCTAAAAAAACTAAAAAGACACACCACCATGTGAAGTCTCTAAAGCCACGTGCCTTGTTACAGTTGCTAAACTATGACGGGACAATAATTGTTTGTTAGAGGGAGGAGATTAGCAAAGAGTAAATAGTTTAAGACTAATAAGTATTTGTCAAGTTTAAGCTGTTCTTTAGCACTCGTTAATGTCGGTCATATTTTGGTCCGTCTGAATATTAAAACTGTAAATTCAGCCGTTAGCCTTTTAATAAGCGTTTAACTCTGAATCTACGTATAATTGAATGATGAATCTGTCATCTATACAGTGGTGTAAGGATACCTTATCCTTGAAGTCGGTGTGGTTCTGGAGAATAGCCCGTTGGTAAGTCCCTGTCCGAACGTAGTCCTGCATCATGTTCTGTTGCTGAGAGAGGTAGCCATAAAACTGCAGAGAGAGAGAAAGCCATTATCGTCTATACGAGATCAATGTCGTACGAGTCGACTCAGTGAGGACAGACGAACGCATCACATTTCAACACGTAAAATATAAGGCTGCAGTCAAAAACTAGGACCAAGTGATTTTCAAATATGGTTTCAGAAAAAATGTATAAATAAAGGAAGAAAAACACATTATCCTCCAAGTCTCTAAGTATTTGATTGACAGCTGGATCTGGAGGGACCCAAAGACGCAATGTCAGCAAACCTGTGCTGGGAACTGTAACTTATACACCAAAGACATTAGCAGTGGTGTTGAAGATTAACAGTTGCGTCCCCAGGACAACAACTTACAGTTACACAACTCTTCTCTTTAAATACACACATGACACTTTAATAACATACCTGTTTTAAAGTACTGTTTGTTTACATATTTTATTGTAAATATTGATATTTTCTATTTTGAAATAATGTCTTTTACTATTGCACTGTTTATTGTCAGTTAGGCAAATTATATGCACAGACAGCGAACGTCTTTAGGACACCGACAGGAAATATAAACTGCAACTCAAAAGTTGTGTAGGTGGTAGAGTCCTTTTTTTATATGAATGGTTTGCAAAATAAGTCATGTTTGGTAAATGAAATGGCTTAGCCAGACTGACAACTGAAAGGGCAGAAAGAGACAAAGATCCTGCTGAGCAACAGTTGAATGAGAATAGAAGAAATCCCGGGTCATTGGTAAAAGGAAGTGAAAGCTGAGCATCAAAATGTGTTCACATTTAAACAAGTTCCTGTTACAGTGTTTCCGATAATGCAGTCTATGACAAGCAGAAACATTAGCAAGTGTTAATACTTCGCCACAATAGACAACGTAGGCTAGAATAGATTTAGCACTACTGAATAGCAGCTGAACTAACAAATCAACTTAAACCTCTTCAATCTAACCAAGTAGACTACACAGGGCCCCAAAACAAAACGGCCACCCAAAATATTTAAAGCCCCGATGCAAGCATCGCTGTGTTTCAATAATGATCGACGCTCACTGGAACGGGAAAAAAACTAAAAATCGAAATTTGGGGGGGGGGGAATGGTTATGACAGTATTCTCCCCTGGCTTCTTCTTTTGGTGCCAAAACTATTTCAAATATATATAATACATTTGGTTTCTGAATTGCACTCTTTTTGTCTCTGTTAAAGAACTCATTTAAAACCTTTTAAACACTAGTCCTATTTTTAGGCCTCTGCTCGAAAATGCCATACCCATACTAAAGAGACTTCAATTCTATAACTACAAGGTCTATTTTAATAATTTTTGATGCTATAATTCAGATAACACTTGTGAGATTGTTCAGATGGGTAAATATTGTGTATATGTTGCTGGTTAATATAGTACATGAAGATATTACACAGCTCAAATTGAAAATATTCAGGTTCGCCTGGGAAAAAAAAAAGCACTTTTATTGATATTATGTTTTTAAAATAATGCAGCCGAGAGCCTAAAAACTCTCCCAAATCATAGTACAACCGATCAGTAGTCCTAGAATAAAGTTTGGCTGGGATAAAGTGAAGAATAAGAACGTTATAGAGGCTTTTAGTACAGAGAGGTCACGCGAGGTCGTCATTTTGGAACCAGCTGTTGCAGCTCTTACATTGTACTTTTATATACTATATATTTCACTTTTTTATCACTCATATTATTCAATACATCCAAATACAGCCGTTTGGCATCATTTTGAGAGCCAGGGTCCTCTCAGAGCCTGTTTCTGTCTCTCATCCATGGGATTTTCTCGTCTGAATTCCAGTTGCTGTGTGTATGGAGGTGTAGCTCAGCCTATCATCGGTCGATTTCAGTCAATGAGCCCGCCTTCGACGCGTCAGAGTCTCAGGAAGGCGGTAGTCGAAGCCGGGTGTTGATTGACAGAACTTTCAGCGAGTAAAAATGCAAAAAGTGCCGCGCATCCCCGAACGTAAAATTCCATTCGCCAAAAGTCTGACCACCCACCCCCGGGTCCCACAAGTTAGATTGACCCCCCTTCTACAGGAAACAGATGCGAAACAGACAGGATGTACTTGCCAACAATGTTTCTAGCTTTGAACCAGATAATTATCGCCGTTCTTTTCGTGATTATTCATAAAGGTAAGCAGATGGCTATGATTTTTTCCGGTGAAGTGATCTGTTGTGCTGGCGTTGTCAGCTCACAGCTTTGTACTGGTTTCACGGAGAGAAAAACCGAAGGTATTTATGGGTTCTGCGTCGAATTCTCATGCTCGGCGATGTATTGATTAGCCGTTTAGCTGTTAGCTTGTTGTTGGAATATCGAAGCGCAGTAAATAAAACACCAATTCGTGGTCAGAAATACGTGATATTATGGTACATTTTCTAGTTGCTTATATTAGTAGTGTATAGTTGTGTTTGGAGTGTGTAAAAAGTTACTTATATGATAGTGTTGCCCATATGTTGCTGTTTAATCCGGTATATAAAATGTATACATGCACAATATTCGCTCTCAATATGAGCATTTTTTGGACGATATTTGCTACCCCCCCTAAGCCCGAGAGCCCCCAAATTTGGGGGCGTCGTGTGCTAGAGGAAATAACGAAAAACGTTAAGATAACGGGCAACTAGGGCTGGGCGGTATACCGGTTTTAATTTCCCGTACGATATGAATTTTTCATATACCGTCATACCGGTGCATAGCCGAAACAACTTCTGTCGCTCTTCAACAGGCAGCAAAATATATTGTTCACCGCTGGGAGCACTACGGTCGGAGCTAGTTGTCTTAGCTGTATTGAGAGGGACCCCTAGTCATGGTCATAACTTTATAATAACAATTAACGCTCTTTAACAGGGCAAAACACCACGACACAACAGTTTGTGACAGATAAAAAATTTGTAGCACTAATAATTGTACATTTATAAAATTTCACCGCCGAACTGCATGCTGGGTACAGCTCGCCAACAGCTGGGAGAGGCTCTGTCGCGCCAGTAACGTTACATTAAAGAACAGAAAAGAGCGATGCAGGATGAACAAGGACTACACAACAAAAGGTATTTAGCTCAGACACATATGCAACGCCGATTACTGTAATATGTGTGGTATTTGTTATAAATGTACGTTGGTACATAGAGGGTGATAAGAAGCTGTACATGGAGGGGCTTCTTCTTCTTCTTTAAATTCCATTGGTGGATCGCAACCAACTTGCATAGGTGCATACCGCCACCTACTGTGCCGGAGTGTGCATTTTCAGGGTAATCTTTTCTTCACTGTTCTGATAATAAAATAAAGT